CACAGCGAGCTATATGACATACACTGATAAATGTTAGCACTCTGTATGGTACATACGTGTCAGGCATTCATCCCCTAGCTGTCCCCATCCGCTGCAGCACACTCCTGATGATCTGGAAAACAAGTTATGAGATTCAGAATGAGAAGGGAATGATGAATAACCTAATCTTAAAGCAGTACAGTCAAACAAATGCATATCAAAAGCGGCAGAATCCACACCCAACTCATGCCTCTTTGATCTCACAGTTCTTAGTACTGCGGCTGATGCCAAATTCCAATGTATTCAGGGCATTGCACGTGATGCATATGCCAAGCACATGGTTGTATAATGATCTGAATAGGGGTTATTCCCATCTGGATACAGTACATAAACTCAAAAGACCTTAACCCCTGAATCAGCATAGTTTATCAGGTTTAGATTTCCCCTGATTTTGCGAAAATACTGAAGAAGGAAGGTAAATATTCAGAGATACTATTTTGCTGCCAAGTTTTACGCCTGTCAGGAAAACAAGGATGTGTCTGCTCTTCCTCCCACGTCTGTGACCTCATTGGGGCCCAAGCAACACGTTAGCGTCCTCAAAAGTGTTTATAGATGGCAGTTTTCTTTCGGTCAATGAGCAGTGGCTGCCAAAATTGGTGCGTGGTATTACAGGTCTAACCTCTGTATGCTTTCACTTGTTATTCAAGGTGTGATTTTTAAACAAGCATTTTACCATTTTTTGTGCATAATATGGTACTGGAGTCAACTTACTGGAACTGAGCTGCTTCCAATTTTCAAGCAATCCAGTCAGCATGTATGGAGTTCACCCTTGCTGATATTTTAGTACACAATCAGTCCATTTCAGCACTCAAGATGAAAGATTGCATTCACTGGTGTGTAAAATTCATTTGATGTTTAGAAGCATAGGAACACACCTGTTTGCCTTCCACTATTATATAAAGAATGTACCAACTACATTTGCCAAGGACTTCAATAGCTGCTCTTTCAGTCACTCAAAAACACATTTTTCTACATCAGTGCTGAAAGCATCGCATTCAAGTCAAAATAAAACACATAATGGGCATAATGGGAAAAACAAGTGAGTGGTGAGTGGAGAGTTCACTGTAATGCATGTTGAATACTGGAAGGAGGGCAACATGTCAAACTTGTAGAGCAGTAGAGGCCAGTACGATCACACTGAACACTTTGCAATGCACTAATAGGCATATATTATATAAAATAGGCTATATTTTGGGGGGAAATGACAATTTGTTGCCCACTGAATAAAAGAATGAGACGGCAGGACAAGTACAATACAAATACTGAAGAGCAGCTCTTGATTTCTTAAGGCTTTTCAGATAAGCTAATTTCAGTTTAGTTTAGTTGTCATTCTCATCCGTCCCAAAGTCTGGAAAGGACGTCAGTTTCTGTTACAGGACACATGAGATACTTCAACAATCTAGAAGCTCATGATTTCTTATCACACATCTTTTACAGCGTAGTGGAAAACGAACCCTGGATTGCATTTGCTGTTTGTTTCTTGCCTACCACAATTTCTAAATTCATAGACATCACTACAACAAGCTTGGATGCTGCAGTCAGCAATTGTGGACGTGGATGATTTTCTTTTACACTAGTAACCAGATATCCACAGGCTCAGCTATAATCCTAGAGGTCATCAAGAAATGCTTTTTGGATCCCTTAACATTTGGGATGGGGCTGTCTGGATATGTGGATACACAGTTATTCTATTGCATTTCATAGAGTTGATTCTCATTTTGAATTATCAACTTTCAACAAAGCTATGCTCCTTTACGTTTTAAAAACTTTTAAAAGTGCACTGTCAACCACAATGTGTTATTAAACGGTGCCACGAATGCTGTGAAGGTCAATGAGCAATGCCAGCGCCCCCTACAGAGCAATGAAATCACTGTTCCAGATGTAAGCCTACACATCTGTACAGCTGCTCTCTTCAAGGACTCCTCCTCCTGCTATGCAGAGGACTGGGAACACGTTATAGCCTATGTAGAAAGGAAAGAGGTCAATGTGAAATAATATATCTAATAAAACCGTGTTAATAAGAATCCCTGATATAAAAAGTAAAAAAAAACGTTTAAAGAATGAATTCAGTGGTTGATTTCATATAGTTAGCAGCGACTTTTCACTTTAGTGAGAACCGCTATTCGCGCATAAAGCCAACAATGCAAACGATGTCAATCTTATCAAGTTGTTGTTATCTTTTGCTCAGTTTTAATTAGTAATATTCTCCAAGCAAATGAAAAATACCAGAGGAATTAGATCACACTTGTGTTTTTAATGCAATTTCAACTCTGACGAGACTATTTTAAAGACGCAGTCCCGAAGCAAGGGAGAATGAATGTCACAAGGAAAACTTAAAAACAAGCTGGTTTGCATTAACAACCAGTGGAATAAATTATGTTATCTTCTGCGCTGATTCTTACCCAGGTGCTTTGCATACATTTCTGCCTTTAGGGTTGAGTTCTTGGCTGAAAGTGGAGCAAAAGAAGAGACAAGCCACCGCAACAACAGCTAAAGAGTTCTTCACTTCCATTGTACAAGCAACAGCATCCTTCTAGACGCCGTTTTTTCTCCGCATTTCCCTTTCTCCAGAATTGGCGAAGGATTTTCACTGGATTTCAAACACTTCGATTTGTTTTAGGCACATACTCCAGATGGATCTACATTATAAATATCAAATCCTGGTCGAAAAAGGTGATTAAAAAACTCTGGCCACCAACTCCATCGAGAAACTCGGCAGCGAAAAAGTAACCAGCGACTGAAATACCAAGCCAACAGTTGAAAAAGAAAAAAAGTCAGAAAACCAAAACTTGCAAATCACAGTATTCTTGATAAACGTTGTTCTCCTGCAGTGCGTCGAATATTCCATCAAAGTTTCTAAAAAAGGCCATCATTTACTGCTGATGTCCAGACCCGACTCATAATGACATAAAAACAACTTTTCCCCCAACATAATGCCCTCAACGCGTCTGGAAACATGTAGATTAATGATAATCTTGACAAAGGAGTACAGAAAATTAGCTGCCTTTCGCTTTTTACTCTCTGAGGAGAAGCACTAATCCATAACTGTTGTCCTCTCTTGCGCTCTCAGGAGTGGCAGGAGGGAAATTCCTGGTTTGTTACTCTATGTTTGGCTTTGTGCGCCATGCGTGCGCCACCAAATTTACATAGGCCTGTGAGCCTAGCCAGGATCTGTTTGAATGGCCTGGGCAAAAAAATAAAAAATAAATGAATAGTTTTCTGGCCTTATTTGTTTGTTTTTTTTTAAAAACACACAAATGATGAAGAGGACGATAGCCTTTTGTTTAACGATAAATAGCCTATAACTATTTTCATTATTATCAAAAATAGCGGCATATTTAAAGCATTTGATGCTCATCAAACAAACAATGACAGATTTGTAGGTAAGATTTGTAGAACAAATACACTAAACACCAGTTTAATTGATAGATGGGGAGAGTATGTGTGCCTTTGTGTGTGTGTGTGTGTGTGTGTGTGTGTGTGTGGGGTGGGGTGTGTGGGGTGGGGTGAAGGGGGTAGCAGCTTAATAAGTAGGCCTACATGTTAGACAATGGCTCCCCCATCTGTTAACATGAACGAAGTGGTTTTGGCATATGGCACCTCCTGCACTGCATGAATGTAGGTGCAAGGCCTCTGAACCATTGACAGCTGTAGGAGTCAAGAGAAATACAATATGTTTTCATTACATCACACGCATTGTAACATCCAGTCCAATGCCTTTCTTTACCAATGGTTGCACAATCCATGTGCCTGGGGTCATCTCACAAGAGCACACCTCATTTCATTTGTGAGTTTTGTGGATTTTAAGGGCTGCAGGTTCGAAATAAAGTGGTTTGTCCCTCCACAAAATGTTATGACATGTTTCTCATTTAATTTAAAAAAAGCATGAGCCATGATCCATAGATTATGTCAACAGAACCCACTACCAAAAATTCATAGCAGAAAACTGCTATGACCCCAAATTGTTTGACAAGTCTTAATTTCATTAATGACCTTAGCAATAGAGAATTAAGTTACAATGAATAATGCTCTCTGATGTTGTGGCTATAATACACATAGTGGGGTGGTGTTGGAACAGTGGCACATGACACATAAGACACATGCCATTGGTGTGAGAGACCAGGGTTCATCTCCCCACTGTGACACATCCACTGTGTCCCTGAGCAAGACACTTCACCCCTAGTTCCTCCAGATGCATGCAACCTCTGACATACTTAGCAATTATAAGTCGCTTAAAAGCATCAGCTAAATGAATAAATGTAAATATGGTAAATAAAATGTAGATGGGTTATTTCAATTTCATTATGAATGTCAAAAATGTTCAAATAGTTAGGCTACTTAGATATTACCCAAGCATGGGACTGTTTATCCAGCAAATTATGCTGAAAGGTAAGGTACAACATCCAGTAGTTTAAGAAGTATTTAGGTCCTTTAAGTAAAAGTAGCAATGCCACAATGCATAAATACTCAATTACTCTTTCAGAGTGATGTATATTATTCTAATATAATGTTATTGGATTATCTAAAGCATACTATCTATCTATCTATCTATCTATCTCTTCTACTGAAGCTGGTGGAGGTATTGTGTCATTAAATCAGTAGCAATGCATTTTTAAAAATGGGAATGATTTACCATTTTTAAATATGGTTACAGTTACCATGGTTGCCAAGTTTAATAAATAGTACAAAGGTAGGCTGCTAAAGATATTTTAACTTGAACTTACTGAGTAAAGTAAGTAGCCTACTACCACAAATGTGTGTTTTCATAAAAAAAAAACGAGTAGGCCTACTTTGTCTCTTTCCTTCAGTAGCCTACCTGCAGTCTTTAAAACTGTAACATTACACTTGCTCATTCTATGGAAGCTGAGAAAAAAAAAGGCAGTAATGCTTGTAGAAAAGTTTGGGAGTGGTCTGGGAGTGATTTAAAAGCAAAACTCTTGCGTCACATGTGTTCCACCGTTGTGATCGATGTCAATGTGACTGGCTTCATGTTTGCGCTGTAGCTTACGCAGCTACCGCATGTTTGCGTAACTTAACGGCCTCCGCCGGCTGACATCCACCTCCTCCAGGCTGATGTTTTATGTCAAAGCCGTGCCAGCCCTGACACGGGCATGGGCGGACATTCCCCTTAAACGATTACTGTCCAGCCGAAAACTACGGTCCACCGTCACCTCCACCTCGGCGACCCGGACGGAGCAGCAGGACGATGTCAGCAGCCGCGGCGGCGCTCAACGTGAGTCAGCACGGTCGGGGTGTCTCGGACAGCCGCGGAGAGGAGGGAGAGACTGCACCACCGCCGTTGCTAATGAGTTCTCCGTGGACTTTGACCAGACCCGTGAGGCGTACAAGAGCAAAGACTCATTAGAGCTGCTCAGAAGTTTGGTGGTTTTCAAACTCTGCACCTATGACTTCCTGGTTGATAAGAATAAAGAGGTAACGAGGTGCTATCTTACCGTGCTGCCCGGTCATTAAACATTAAGTCTATTTGTTAATTAGATTTTTGTTGTTCAGGGGACTTTATCTTGGCAGTAGGCTATATTAAAGGTTAGCAGAATTGCATTAAAGTATAATTTGCACTCTTTTGTAACACACTGAAATAGTGTGTCACCATCAAAACAAACAGGTGTGCGCACAGGCCAGAACATGTCTCCTGACTCGGGCTGTAGCTCTGGGCAGATTTAACTCATTAACCCTAGAATACTTGTGCCAATATATTTTTGAGTTGTATGGTTAACAAGCTGTAACTGTAAAGGCCTTCAGTTGCATTCAAGGTAAACAAAACTTAAGTCATCTATGCATTAGTAAGTCTGCACATAAGTCTGGACCCACAGGCCTAACTGCCTGCCTGCTCCTCTACTTGTGTCACTCGAACCTATAAAATTACAGCCTGATTTGTATGGAACGAACGTCTCTGCAGTCCGTGTTAACTAACCTCAGGTGTCAGACCATTTTAAAACATCTGGTAAATTTCGTACACAGTATATGGATTACCCACAAGACCCTACAGCAAAGGCAATTTCTTTCAGCCCATGTTGTGCTGCATGGTGGTACAGTGCTTTAATAGACTTGGAGCACTGCAGGTTCCTATACTTTCCACGCTCTATCATGTCTTCATGTAATCAGCGAAATCGATGGAAGGCTGCGGTTGTGAAAGCTAGTAGCTACACCAAATATGAAGTCGCAATCTAACATGGCGTTACTCTGATTTTCAGTGTAGCTGCAATGCTTCATCCTTTGTCTGTGTTTTAGCCTTAGTGGAATATTTAATTTATAGCTTGGGGGTTAAAACATGATTTGAATTCCTTTGCTTATGAAAGATCAACTTGCTACTTTCTGTCCTTTCCCCGTGGTCTATCGGGTAAGCCGTTGGCCTTCAAAACTTTCTTAGACACAGCCTGGCATTTAAGGGACATTATCATTACATAAACTAGGCTAAATGGCATGTAGAATAAATTACACCTGTCAAAAAAATCAAAACTGGTTCTAAACTAATGTTCTCTCCCTTTCTGCTCAGATAATGGATTTCGGTAAGAAGATCCTCGGCCAGAGAGCATTTGACCAGTTCATGAAAATGACATTTTATGGTCAGTTTGTAGCTGGTGAGGACCATGTTGCCATCAGGCCGCTGATCCAGAAGAATCAGGCCTTTGGCGTCGGCTCTGTCCTGGACTACAGTGTGGAAGAAGACATCAGCCCGAATGAGGCCGAGCAGAAAGAGATGGAGTAAGTTACCTAATAGATTTCAGTAGATAGTACTTTAAAAAAAGATTTCTGGGTATGTTTTGAGGTCTATATTGTCAGTGTTACAAGCTTGTTTTTTTTAAACAATTTAAGAGAATTAAAGTTAGTAGAATCATTTGTGTATAAAATCAGTTCAGTTATATTGAGATCACTATTGGCCATAGAAGTTTAGATCTTGACCTCTAGACAGAGTACATCACCTTGCACGGTATTTTCCTCTTGTTCGATGCTAGAAATAGGCGTATATTAATACGCCTGACAACTAGGAAGTAAACGCTCTTTACAACATGATTTGTTGGCTCAGTCATGGCCCCTCGTTCTGGATTGGCTGGCTGGAGAGCATTTCTGTCTTGTTAAGAATCCTGTCACACGGGTGTAGCACAGGGCAGTGGGTATTAGATCTGTGAACGGATGTAAACTTGGATGACAGTATGCAAACAGTCTCTCTACGCAGTGGCAGTAGCAAATGTTACTTAAGTTGCAGCTCTGGGAATTAATGCGTTGTGAGTAATCAGGACATCTCGTAGTCCAAAGTAAAGTTGAGACTTTTTGAGCTATTCAGCAATCACTCCACAGTCAAATCAGTAGACAAAATTGCTAAAGTGAATATTATTTGTTGCCCCTTTCATTGAAGTGAAAAAAACAATTGCACTTGTCAGATTTACTTAGCATGAGTATAATAGTCAGCCTGACCTATGACTGACCTCTTTCTTTTATCGCACACACAACATCTCTTGGTTTGTAAAGGTCAGATGCAGTGAATAAACAAGGCCATTTGACATTATATTTAAGTGTCTAGTGTTTAAGTCTGTTGACGCAGAGTGACTGCTGACTGCAATGCCAGCGTATGCCAGGACGGAATGCCCTCTATTATTATTTTATTGTTTTTTCACATTCTGTAAGGTGATAAAGTTCCCAAGTAAGCCCTTTGCTATGACTTTTTCCACCCTTGTTTGTACTTCAACTCAGTGTATGTTTTTTTTATTTTTTTTATACCATATCACTAGTAACAAGATATCACTGCAAAGCTTTGATATACTTTGTCTTGAGGATGACTGCTCAGAAACATCAAAAGAGGTATCAAACTTCAACCTACAAAGCTTGTGTTTGGTGAATATACATCTCCAAACCGTAAAGCAGGAGGACAAGGCACATTAAGCCAGCTTGATCTCAGACAGCAGGGTTTGACAGGCACTCCAGTGATCTGTCAAGATAGCAACAACAACATTAGTCAATTCCTTGTAAGAGAAAGAACATATAAGGAACAGAGGCAAGTACTGGCTTGATGTTGAGAGCATAAGACTTACATTCCATGCTTCAGTTGCGTAAGCCATGTAAAAGTAAAATATATACGCCTGATTTTACAGTCAGGATATGATTAATGCAGACTTTTGAAGACCTCTACTTTAACAAGGCTGCCAATAATCAATAAATTGTGCCAGTTGTCACATTCTGTTAAAATGTCTCTTTACATGCCAAAAGATTCCCCCGAAACCAAGTTGACATGTTTTATCCAACCAATGGTCCAAAAAACATATATAACGTAAAAACGTACATAAATATTCATATTACAATGCAGTAAAACGGAGCAAATCCTCACATTTTGCTAAGCATTTTCCATGATAAATGGTTGATAAAATGGTTATTTATTACAATTGTTCACAATAAATTTTCTGTCAATTGACTTCTTGTTTCTGCCCTACTATTTTTAAAGAAAATGTTAACATAAAGAGAACAGTACGGAACAAGTGGCCTAAGCGACTGAAATTGTATTGTCTTACACACATTTTATTTAGTCAGTGTCAAATGGATTCCATTGCAGTTAAATCCAGATTTAGGCCTGCCAAATGGCACATAATCAGAAAAGTTTCCTGGCTCTGAATCCTATTTATTTCCCTGATGGCCAGCATTCTTAGTCATCTGTTTGGTTACATGAGTTTCCCATTCCCCTGTGATGAGGGGGGAATAGGTCAAGTGTGGCGTAACGCTACAACTGCCCTCTCTGGAGGGTCAGCAGGCTTGACAGCAGGACAGTTCAGCATATACTGTATAGGGTCACTAAACACAATGTCAGCCTCTGGCATGCCAGGGTGAAATTTTGAAAGAACGTGAGCAAGGTCCCACATTTAACTCAAAACCAAGACATTTGCTGTAATTCTAGTGAAAATTAAAATTTTAATGTTGCCCTAAATACAGGGCAAATTAACTAATTTTATCCTTTCGTATTTCTTCTAATTTAGCTCATGTGCATCTGCTGCAGAGATAGAGAGCATAGGTAAGCTGCCTCATTTTGTTCTTATTCGTGGACACAGCATATGATGTAATTAGAAGTAATAGGCATGCAAATTTGTTTTCATCCCCAGGCGAGGACCACAGAGACAAAAAACATAAAGGAAAAAAACAATTCGGGGACAGTCGCAGGGGAGTGACTGGAGCCCACACGTATTTCTATACAGATGAGGCCAAATGTGATCAGCACATGGAGACCTTCATCAAATGCATCAAAGCATCTGGTAAGTGAATAGAAATTAAGCTACTATCAGTAATAAAACTTTACAAAATGTCTGTTTTGGCACATTGTGTGAAAGTTGTAACTCTATAATGGCCCATATATTTCCTACTGATTAGCAAATATTCCCTCAACCAACGAATACACGGAGCACAGTCTTTAAGCATGCATTCACTATCATGTTAATATTTTTGTCTTTACATCATTTGATTTATTTTAAAACCAAGTGTGTTGGACCTCTAGGTTGTAACTCTATAATGGCCCATATATTTCCTACTGATTAGCAAATATTCCCTCAACCAACGAATACACGGAGCACAGTCTTTAAGCATGCATTCACTATCATGTTAATATTTTTGTCTTTACATCATTTGATTTATTTTAAAACCAAGTGTGTTGGACCTCTAGGTGGGAGTTCAACGGGAGGTTTTTCTGCCATCAAAATGACTGCTCTAGGACGACCTCAGTTTCTGGTATGAACCAAGGGGTGATTATAAGCTCAATGCACTAATGTAGCTGATACCTTTACAGAAGTTGTGTGATGGACTGACATCATGCCTTTTTTTTAAAGCTCCAGTTCTCAGAGGTCCTGGTGAAATGGCGTCGATTTTTTACTTTCCTGGCATCGCAGCAGGGGAAAGATGGCATGGAGGCCTTAGAGCAGAAGTTGGAGCTGAAACAACTGCAGGTGGAGTTTAAATTAAATAAAAGTGGTACATGTGTAAACTCTACCAAACATTAACTTCAGTGTTATAGATCATCTTGGCACTCCTATTCCATACACAATATGAGGATTATGCTATACTATGTGCCTTTCAGTACAGTAGAGCTTTATGTCCATCTAGGAATTCCTGACCAAACTGGGTGCAAAAGGTGACTTCTATGGCTGGTTGACTAGAAGGAAAGAGGAATCTTCAGGGTAAGCATGAACACTGACTACTAAAATTAGCAGCACTTATGTACGTGGAATTAACATGTTCAAGGCAATGAAAGAAAAAGGTATGAGGAAAAGAACAAATTGTGTCCTAATGGATTTAATGCCATTTGCAGTCATACTACTTTTACAACAATATTTATGTACATGTACAGTATTTATTTTACAAATGATTTGTTGAAAACTAATAGGTGATGTGATTTGCAAACATTAACTGCTGAAATGTATTTGCAGAACTCTCTGCTGCTGCATAATATACAGTGACAAGACCGATGCGATAAGATGGAAATCAGTTTAGTTCACACCATGTAATGAAAAAGGTTAGAAACTGTGGTAGGAATTCATTGTATTTTTCCACTCCAGAAATATTTGACCTTTAGCAACTACAAATATTTTAAAGTTTATCTTAAAGACGTGCTTAGTTTCAGAGTGACTGAAATAAAATAAAAATGGCCCAGATACTGGTAACAGTTTAGACTCTACAATATGCTGTTGCCAAGATACTTGCCAAGGTACCTTTCTGTCCTCTGCCTTGACAGAACCGTTGACATGCTGGACTGGAACAGCCTGATAGATGACAGAACAAAGATATCTGACCTGCTGGTCGTCCCAAATGTAGAGGTCAGTTTCACAAAACACTAAGGGAGAGAAATTTACTGTAAAAAGTGTTGTTAAAAGAATATCCCAGAAAATCTACAGCTTCAAGCCCAAACTCTTTGGAGAAATTAATTGAGTTTCTATTTGCAAATAATAATACCAAAATCATGTGTCTCTTATGTGAACAAGCTTGTGACGCATTTATGAATTTCAGAAAAATCTGGCATAAACTACAAGTTGAACAACATCTGATGTAGTTCTAACATCTGATTAGTTTTTTGTAATTACATTGCTGAATTTGAGATACTTTTGCCATAACCACACCTTGAACCTGATGGAGGTCAATGATGTATCAATTGCAGCATTGAAAACATCACAGCTATTTGCTGCTTTTATCAGCCCACAAACTTGTTGTTTAGATTTCTTTTTAGGGTTACCCCCAGTTTGAAGTCAATTTAAAGTGAATTGCCTCTGTTTTAAAACTGGGATAACTTAGGTTTCATGTGTGAATCACTTCGCTCTGAGCTAAGGAAAAGCCTGGGTTAATTGCTTGTCTACAGAGTCTGGGCAAGTTACCCTCGACATATCTGTTGACCTTGGACTAAAGACAGCTGAAGGGTGGATGAAGTAAAAAGAACTAATAAGTGTCGTGCTGTGCAGTATGTGAGTCATTAGCATCTCATGGTTCACACTCTCCTGGGTTGTTTGCCCAGCTAGGTCAGCTGGTGCCTCTGCTGGAGACGTTCACTGTAGAGGAAGAGAAGCAAATGGAGAGGATGTTACAGCGCTTGGACGTCTTAGTTAAGGTAAACGCTCATAAACTACAAAGACTGATCACTGTACACAAATATACACACAGTAGCAATTGCATTTGTTGTTGCAAGGAGCAAGCACTTATAGTAAAAACAATTGTGGTATCAACACAGTGGCATGTTTATTGGGTAAATGTCAGACTTATGGACTGTACTTAAAGATGTTTCGACTTCTTCCCACTGTACAAAAATGAAGCCAAAATATCGGATATCTTGCGCTGGTGATGTCATTTGGAGCCAGAGTCTCACACAGTAGACTGTGAGGTCGAGGTTGGAGCCGCGGTATCGACGTCCCATACATTAACCTGGCCGACTTGATCGCCAGGGCTCAGCTGTCAATCATGATGTGGATTCCCCTTTTATTGTATTAAATATAAAACTAATTAAAACCAAAAAAGAAAGATGAAAACTTGATCATACATCAGCGTGATAAGAACTACCAAAAATGACAGGAACCATCTTTGGGGAAAAATGCAATTGACGTGTACTTTTTAGTTGGGTCCTTTCCGCTAACATGTGGGGTGTTTATGACCTATAATGGAGCCAGCCACATGGGGGCGATAGAGTTTTGTTCGTTTTAGTAGCTAAATCTAAGGCAAGACATCTTTTCTCCTTATGTGAGATTAATGCGTTTTGTACGTGTACCTGACAAATATATGTAATGACACAACAGTGTAGTGATAATTCATAGCAAGCTGTGCTTTCTTGGTTGCCTTGAGACATTTGTTTGTTATTGCACCTTCCAATCTATCTTGTTTTTTTGTTTATACAGTACAAATACACTTATGAATAAATATTTTCAGTCAGTACAAATGTGTTTCTAGCTATTGTGTTAAAGCTGCATTAAATATGACCACAGCCACCACAGGGCTGCTAACCACTGTAAGCATATTCACAATAACCGAGGGTATTATTTGTATTCAGAGTCACAATGTATGTGTAATAGAACAGAAACAGTAATCATATTGATTTAGTTGAACGCTTTGTCAGTTAACTTTTTTTTAAATTAAACTATGGCATAATACACTATACACTGGTAATGATATAAAAAATGAATTGGATTTTTTTTATTCCAGCATGCCATTGAGAATGGTGTTCGCCTGATGGTGGATGCAGAGCAAACCTACTTGCAGCCAGCTATCAGCAGACTGACATTAGAGATGCAGAGGATCTACAACAGAGAAAAGCCTGCCATCTTCAACACCTACCAATGCTACCTCAAGGTCAGAATCCACAATTGGCAAAAAGACAGTGATGTGAGATCAAAAATGTAAATTATGGATATAAACACAAAGCATGCAGACACAACAGTTCTAATTCTTATAATAAAGAACATGCTGTGACAAATCCTGTACCTCAAAAATTCAACGTGTAAAGAGATTACTTTGAGTCAGCTGAATTGAGACGAGAAGAAGAGGATAATGTTGGAGAGGACGTTGGTGCTTTCATTTTATATCTTTTAAATACACCATTTCAAATGAAAAGCTGTTAAAGTCACAGTAGAGTTTCATTTGTGTGATTGACATCCTTTTTATTATTTTATCAAAAGGACATACCTTACCATATTGTAACCTAAAACATGCAGTATTGTGAAATAAAAAGAACACATGATACCTGTTAGATCAAATTGAACTGTATAGTTGACTTTGGGTCCCACTTTATCAATGATGTTTGTAATACTGTAACACACTACTGCTTTGCTGCTGACATTGCTAATACTAGAATTCTTAAGCAAGTTCTCAAAATGTGTCTGTTTTTTTATTTTTTTTATTTGATCATTTATATGGAAACATGGCCATGAACTGATGTCAGCATAATTCTTTGCAAAAGAGCGAATCATCTTCTTTTTCTTTCTTTCTGCAGGAGGCCTATGACAATGTCACTGTTGACATAGAATTGTCTCGACGTGAGGGTTGGTATTTTGCTGCCAAGCTGGTGCGTGGGGCCTACATGTATCAGGAGCGAGAGAGGGCTAAAGAGATTGGTTATGAGGACCCTATTAACCCTAATTATGAGTCTACCAATAGAATGTACCACAGGTAAGAGCCAAGGCTTGTTTTTGTTTATTAACTGTTGAAATGTGCACCTCACCAACGTTTGATCATTTTCAACCAAGCCAAGCTCTCAGGTCTTCATATTCACAATGAGAAGCTGTCTGCCATTACTATAGCCTTTAGCTGTTAAGTGTCTTGCACAAAGACGCCCCAGGAAAAAATATGTTTTTGTGCCAATTCACTACAATGGACAGCATTCAGATTACATTTTTAGTAAAGTGGTCCTTCACATGGAGTTCCTGGGTGCAATATCTTGTGCCACAAAACTTCCACATTGTTGACTTGTCCTTGTGCGAGTTACAGAACACAATCCAGCTCCAGGGGTGCTGTGTTGTAACAATTCTCTGACATTTCAAGATTAAGGCAAGCGCAAAGAAATCACCCTGCGGAGATACATATGTTTTGCTCAAAAAGAGGTGGGTTTAAGGGCTATCCTTAGGCCCTGAATTAGATTTTGAGGTAAACGTCAACATAGGACAGTAACCAAATTTGGATAATGGGCTACAGCACAGCACGAGGTGGGATTCAATGTATGCAGATGGTAAAGTTCATGCATATTAACACAGCTACAGCAGCAGGAAAGCAGAAAACAGAGGCCCTCCCTGAATGGATTGGTTCAGATTTCTGGCAAGTATGTTCAGTGTTTAGGGGCATTTTTACTGTTTAGTTGTGTTAAGATAGTCCTGCAGCACACAATAAATCTTAAATGCTAATGAGAAAGAATTGTTTGTATAAGTTTTGAAACAATGTAAGCCACAAAATGCGTACAATTGTGTATTTTATAGTGAAAAGTACAGGAGTTTTCAAAGTCTGAGACTGTGGGCCTCCCCTCAGGCAAAGGCCCTCAACCCCTCCCTTAGCTTAATTTTGCTCAAGACACTCAACAATTAAGCCAAGACAGCCTAATATAGCAATGTTATGCTATGTCAAACAGCAGTTTGATATAGCCTCAGACCACAGGAGTTCTGACCCTGGGAAAGTGAAGACAGTAAAATTCCCCCCCAAACTACTATATCTATGAACTCTCTTTAACCTAATTACACACATTTACGATATTATATGTGTAAGTTGCCTTCCTTGTGTGTGTTCGTATGTGTCTGTATATTTGCCTTAGGTGTCTGGACTATGTGCTGGATGAGATTGCACTCAACAGAAATGCCAACGTAATGGTGGCTTCCCATAACGAGGACACAGTGAAACACACCTTGAGGAGGTACGGTTTCAATTCTATCCAAACATGCTGTTGAAACCACATTTATGATTAATATTCCAGCTTTGTATCTGTATAAACCAACTTATTTTTGTAAGTCTGTCTTTCTCATTTAGAATGAATGAGCTGGATCTCTTACCCACAGAGGACAAGGTGTACTTCGGTCAACTATTAGGCATGTGTGATCAGATCAGCTTCCCATTAGGTGAGAAAAAAACACACAAACATGCTTGTTCACACAAGCAATAATGACTAGACACTGGTCTTTCCTGATTAAAATAAATATAATAATAAATATTAATACAAGTGAAATCTTTCCTGCCCTACATGGCAATGCTTTGGCAGTGTAAGTTAAGCCTCTGCAGTCTGTATTTGCCACCCTCCCCTCTATCTCTCAGTTGTATCTCTTAACGCCTTTCAGCTACGCATATCCCACAGATCACCTGGACTGCATGAGAAGTAGAAGTCAGTCTGCAGCCCATAATGTGACATATGAACTGAGACACTTTGGTATTGACAAGCTGTCTTAACACAGCGCTGCTGCTGGCTCTCACCACTTTGTTTGTCAGTCAAAGACACATACAGCGGCAGCTGGCGGTTCTCTGTCAATGCGAGGCTCAAGTTGAAACGGTCTTGACCGGTATTGATGTAAACAGGCACACATGTGTGTCTTTGTTATTTTCTTGAGGGAGAGAGCAGTCAGTGCTGTGTCTTTGAATCTCGAAACAATAAAGTAGTTTTATGAAATAAAGAAGATAGAGGTTGACATCTTTCTTTATTTTTAAAGGTGCCTTGTTCAGTTCATTCAGATACTGTGGCTCAGGATGTCCTCTTTTCGTGACTTTTTATCGTATCATGTTTTCACTTTTTGCTAGTAGTTGTGAACTAGTTAAATGTATATTTATTTTTGATGAATTGGAAGAGTAAGCCCTGGCAAAACAGTCACAGTGTGTGAGCCTGACTGGCAGACAAACAGCAGCTCTTCTCATTCAAATGCAGCAAACTGAGTGTGTCTTTTGTAAATGCAGCAAACCTGCATGATTGAAGGATTGTTGTAATCATTCACGGAGCGAAGCCAATCCACATAGCATCCAGTTGTGATGTGGTCTCTGGAGTTTGTCCAAAATAACCGGTAGAAATCATGTTCTTGTGAAATTGAAACTAGTCAATCAAACATAACATTTTCACAATGTCTTCAAAAGAGAGGCATTTGATGATATTTCTACAAGTATATCATCTTGATCCATATCATGCCACAAAGCCCCTTTCTCTTTTGTTTTCTCCCATCCCTTCCACTTCAACCCCAGGCCAGGCAGGCTTCCCTGTCTATAAGTACGTACCCTATGGGCCTGTGAATGAGGTGATGCCCTACCTGTCTCGGAGAGCCCAGGAGAACCGAGGCTTCATGAAGGGTGCCCAAAAGGAGAGGGAGCTGCTGTGGCAGGAGCTGAAACGCAGACTTGCCTCTGGGGAGCTTCTCTACAGGCCGGCATACTGAAAAAGAAGAGACAAAAAGTAGAGTGTGTCAACGTGTTGAGTTTTTTTCATCTTCCCTGGTTGACAGTTGCTGCTGTGGCTGTCTGTTATGTCTCTCCCTCTGTACAGCTCTCCCTTGATGTACATCTCCTGTTCTACCCTGTCCTGCATTTTTCTTGCTGATGAACTGTTTCGGCATGTCACTCTCCTTTTCTGTGTTCCCACTGTTGTTATTCTCTATTCTATTCCTCACTGACGTTACCCACCTTCGCCCCCATCCGTTCTTCTGTGTACTGCCCATGTTCTTTCGTTCCTTTTTCCTTATCCGCCTCTGCATCCATAAGCGTCCCTCATTTTGTCTCCACATTGTCTACAGAGCTCTGGTATCCATCAAGTGAGCGTCTTTACTGCTCCAAAAGGACTCCCTAAAATGTCAACGAGACCGGGGCGGGCGTCTCGTTTTATCTCCCTATTTATCTTGGAGCGGGACAACAATAATAAAAATAACAGGCTTGATTTAAATGGTAGTAAAGGAAAAATCAATATTCCCTCCTATATTGTGTTTTTATTTATTTTTTTTGCTCTTAGACAGCCACATAGTCCCCTGAGGAGGTTTCCCTGTACTGTATATTTGTGTGCTGTGTTTGAGGCTGTATTGCTGGGTTGAAAATGATGCCTGTTTATGAACCAATGAGAAAGTATAAACGGTTTCTCACTGCACATCCCTCTTCTTCCAAGAGCTTTTGTTTTTGTATTTACTGGAAGAAGCTATATTCTTGGTCACTGAGGTGTTCCTAGAGAACATGCAGCACTCAGTATTCAGTGAGTGAATCTCCTTTTAATACAGATGCCTGCAAGTCGTGGAAGTTGTTTCTTTTTCATGACACAAGATAATATGCAAGGGAATAATAAGTTAGAGGGTTGCCTTGTGCTCTTATTTTGATGGATTAACACGGTGCAGTTTCTATCTATGACAATGTAAATATGTTTGAAACAGTTAATTCCATTTGTTGTTTCTTTTGTGTCTCACTTTATGGACCTGGGAAATTGCTCAATGAATAAATATGTATGTAGGTATGTGTAGCAAAAGTCTACTTCAAAATGTTATTAAAAGGAGTTTATTGAATGCAACATTGAAGTTGTGAGCTTTATGTACAGCTTGGGTTTTATTTGGGTTTTAATTCTGTGATGTCTTCTGCTTGGTTATTGATATACAATTAGTATTTGAGTCAGAGGGCAACCAAGCTTCATGGTAATTATGGCCATGTCATTTTATGAGAGCAATCAGTGCTCTGTAGACATCATTTAATTACCCGTGATGCTACGCTCAATACAGATCACAGAAATTGGATGCATTAATCATTACTCAGAAGAAACTTTAGTGACTCTTAAGTTTTACTGAAGCAAAGCGCCACAGAGCTGTCACTGCTGCTATATTGTATTGGTTTAATTAAGAATCAAGTCTACTTTTGATGTAAGAAGTGCCTTTGGGTATACATTTGCCAACAAATCCCTTCTCAAAGGGCGCCGGAGTTTTCCAGGTTAGCTTCAGTTGCAAAGATGGTTTAGAGGACACATTATAGTGTGAAAAATTCTACACAAGTTCCAAGTCAGTCAAAACCAGCTCGGGCTCAGCATATTCTTTGGGACTTATCAACACGTCTCCCTACATTAAAGCACACAGGCATGTGATGGAGTGAGCCGAGGCTAATTTACTTTACGTAATGAGTGTTGACTTTGTATTATGTAAGACGTGAAGGATGGCGTACGTAACTGATTTCTTTGGGCTCCCCCGCCTTGGTTCCACACGTTCTGACGTCTTGGATTGTTTGTTTGGCTGTGCCCTTGGCTTTGTGGTTCCAATGGGACCGCACAGCGTTCCGGTGCCTTTCAAAGCACAGCTCCATATGCTGTGACAGGCCTTGATTTGGAAAAAAAAAAACTGAGCATTGTTTTTCAGGTTTAGAAAATATTTAGCTTTTCTGTATCACAATGGATGGAATGGTTTGCTGCTTTATTCCAGCGGGCATTTAATCTAATAAGTGTTTGTGTGCTAATAGATGAACTGACACTAAGTATCATGATGGCTTTGAGCCACCCAGGAGTATGGTGTATTTTTCTTTTTTGACAGCAAACTGAGAGATTACTGGCTCACAACACACAAAACAGAAAATTGGGCCCATGCACATTCAGTTCATCATGAGATGATGTTAAAACTTCATTTCACTCCAGGAGGGCTGAGAAAGGTTTGAGAAAACATGTTGCATTATAAAGTATAAGGTTGCTTCATAATCTTGCAAAAGTTAAAAAGGGAGATTTCATCCATCAGCACAAGTAACTATGTAACCTCACCTAAACATTGACAGAGGCGATTTGAACTCACCATAACCTCACCATCATTTGGGTTGAAACCACAGATGAATAGTCAGTGTGTGTCCATCAGTGTACTGACTTTTGGCAGCTATTTCTCTTCAAACGCAACATGAATATCCAGTTTTGCTTCGTTCTCAATTATCATCAGTTACAAAAGGAGTACTCCGCATGACAACAGGTTGGATGAGATGTTTAAATCATAGTGGAGATGGAGGGAAAATTCAGAAACGAGACCAACAACACACAGTAGAGTGTATTTCCTGACATTGCAACATAATCGTAACATCATTTCTACATGGCCAGTCAGAATGACAAGCACAGTATAACTCAGTATATTGGCATCAGTGAAAAAGCTGCAAGACATGTTGTCAATATTTTATAACAACATCTGAGGCTAACTTGGCTCATACGTCTAACAAGGAGAAAGTGTAACTTTCTGCAAGACACTGACATTTCCCAAATAGGAATATTGGTGACACTTACAAAGAACAACTGAGGAACAAACCAGAAACTAAGTTCCTGAATAACTGTAAGTATTATAGAATATAGTCCACATAGAGTTAATAACGTTTTTGGAAATTCACTTACTTGCTTCATTGCTGAGCGTTAGATTGATACCATGTCTGTACAATAAGCTAGGAGCCGGTTAGCTAAACGGGGACTCTCAGATGTCACTGTGCCTGGCAAAGACATATTCCAGCGCAAAATCCCCTGTAAAATAAAAATAACCCAAACAGTCGTACAATCTGTTGAATACAGCTGGTAGGTGGATTTTGACAGAGCCAAGCTAGCTGTTTCCTCATGTTTCCAGTGTTTGTGCTGAGCTAAGCTAAACACTTGCTGGCGGAAGGTTCATATTTACCCGTCAAACAATCATTCAGTGATATGTATGAGAACCGATAACTAACCAAATAATTGTGATACACAGAACATTGTCAGTGGTAAAATTTCATTTAATACAGAAATGGATGACTAGGCTACTACTACTGTTGTTTATTTATGTAAGTATATAACGTTATTGGGTCATATCGTTTTGGTTCACTCTGTTTTGTGTTTCGTTGTCTAAATTAGCATCGGTAGACTGAAGCTGTAGAAGAACTGTTTTGCACATGAATAATGTGACCTTTGACTGATGATTAACTCTTTACTAATGATATATCAGGCTATGAAAAGTGATATGTGAATATTATCTCATTAAACAAAAGAAAATAATATCACAAGCTTCTGAGGATACAAGGATGGAGGGTGTCCTATGCTGTACAGATTGTAAAGACAAATTTGTAATTTATGAAATTGGGCTGAAGAAATCAAACCGACATGACGTCTTGTGATCGAATGAGTGCAAGCGGGTATTTTTAAAAATGGTTGCAGGGATGAATGGACAAATCATAAGCCTGTGGACAACAGCTTTGACGAAGAGCTTATTTCTAGTCTGGCATACATTAAAAACATCATGGTGGAGAACTTTGGGTTTTGGCAGACTTTTATTTGACTTTTAATGTCGCCAGCTGCATCTGTAATACTCATCTACATAATGTGAAACTATTGCAGGCTTTCTTCACATCACCACCTGCCCTGTCAAGCCATGCTGATGTTCACAGCTATTCCCCGGTAGTCCACAACCACAAACAAATAGTTTGATTTGAAACCTTGTCTGGTAAATTACTTGTTAGTCCTGGTTAACAATGGAGTTGATCCACAGGTAGTGAAATGGTTGACCTGACCAAACAGCAAGGTCAAAACTGGCATTTTGTCTGCAATTCTCTTTTTTGGCTTTGTCACGTGGAATACTCCGTTACTTTGCCTTTCATTATGCCTGTAAATGAAGGGAATCTGTGTTGTTCATCACAGCTACTTAGTGAGAAATGTGATGAATCATTGAGCTAAGTTGACCCAGTCCTGCACTGAAGGAATCCCCCTGGCCGCAGTAAGCTCTGATGTGAACCAGTGAGTAAACAAATGAGTCGTAAACACAACAGATGGAACAGGCGATGACTAATCTCATCTGCCCAAATAGAGTGGCAGAACGTAGCACAAATGATCAAAAACCGGGCGGGGGAGAGCAAGAGAGAGACAGAAAGTTTGTGTTTTTCGTCCTCCACTCTGTCAAGTGTGCACAACGAGAAACACTTCTATTTCACACAACAAAGCGTCACATGGATGTGTAGCCATGCCAGAGCGTTTTCACTTATCACAGGTTTTGTGACAGGCAGGGCTGAAAAAATGCAAGGCAACACATCACATGCCTCACACATCTCTGAAATCATTTCTTGGTAAGTTTTTTGTGATCTTATTTAAAAACACGATGGCCAGGACAGCGGCCTCCTAATCCTCTCCCTCGAAGGCACTGGTGTAGGTGGATGATACAATGTGAATCTTGTCTTCATTTCTTACAGTCTGCCGTTTCTCCCCCAACCTTTTGTTCTGTGCCAATGAATGGCGCCCATGTATTATAGATCATTAAACCGCTTTCATCTCCTCTATTTGAGATGCACGCTGTTTTCCCTTTGAAAGTGATAAGCATGGTGCAGCACGAATGAGCCACGCCTGGATAAAAAAGGAAGATGGGAGGTGTGTGTGTGTGTGTGTGTGTTGAAGAGGAAACTGCTAGGAGAATGCCACCAGTGTGTGAAAGGAGCAGAGCAAGCGATCCATCACAGACGCTGGCCACACAGCCTCTTTTCAATACTTACCCTTAAGGCCCCAATTGCCCACCTTTATCCCCACATTAACACATGGAGGCACCCATGCATGATTACATGTACACATACAGAAAGCATGTAGATGTGGAAGTGTACATGCATACCCAGTCACACATTCATGCACTGACAGAATAGGCTCTCACAAACACACCTTCACCCTCCCACTCACACACACACACTTCCTCCCATCAGTTCCCATATCTATCAGTCTGGGGTGAGAGATGATTTGGAGCGGCTCAATGTTTTGATCATTAGTTTGGACTCATGGAGTGCTGCAGCAGTGAAAAATGAGACCACTATCTCATGGCCACCTGTTATTTTAATAAGAAAAAGAACAATTCCCCATCACAGGATGGATTGGCTACCTGATGCCCGGGGAAGAAAATCATGTTGGTTGTGTGTGCGCTTGGTGGAGTGTTTATTTGTGCCTGCACGCGAATACATCTGAATTCAATTCTGCCTATATTTGTTTGTGGGTGTATTGTATATACACAATAGAGCCGACATAAAGGTAACACATAACTCTTCTCTGAGTACAAAGATCATTCAGTAGATATGTGTGAATATATCAGGTAAAGTGTGCAAGCTGCTCTTTCTTTCCCATATCTTCCTGGAGTTACAGCTGAAGAGATATTTTTGCCCCTTGGTGAGAAATGTTTGAAACAGTGTTCCAAACTAATGATAATTTAGTTGCCCTGTTTAGTGCACAAGTTAATCCAACATTTACCAATTTACCATTCTTGCTTAGAAAAAAATTCTAGCTAGCCTAAAGTAGCCTAGCAAGTAGAGTTAGCACTGGACCAAAAGCAACAGTCCGGCTGCTTGTCTGCTGGTTTCTGCTAAAAAAAAGTCACGTTTGAAGATTGGGAGCATGACAAACATTTTATGAATTACAGCCCTATTTATAGGTGAGACCGAGTATGTTCGTAACATGGGGAGAGTTGTAACACCACCCATTCCTCCAATTAGAGATAAGAGAGGAATGAGTCAGTATTTATCTGTCCTCCCCGATTCTGCATGGTGGTTGTCAAGGCTGGAAACTCACATTCAGAATAT